TCAAAATGTAATTTGACACCTTTGTTAAAAGTATGAGCTAAAATGGAAGGTGTAAAATGATTGACCCGTTGACAGAAATGACTTAAAGTATAGGATTCAAATCCTCTCCACTATCTAAAAAGTAGTGGAGGGACCACTATATAATCACAACCATTGATTATCTAATTGATTGATTATGTAGTTGGTGATTGTGAATTTTTTAAATGCAAATTAGGAATGAGTACAATACACGAGGGTATGGTAAATGTTAGATTTAGATTGTATCATAACTGCCTACTAAATAATTAGCGACTGAGATTAAAAATAGTAGTCTCTCCACTACTTTTTTTTTTTATAGTGGAGAGCATCCAAATTCTTAAGTATAACTTGTAAACAGACGTCAATATTTCCACAATTAAATAGAAATCATTAAGCAAAATTAGTTATTTTTTGGGATAAATTATCAGGAGGCTCAAAATCACATGATCATGAAGTAAATGCACAGCAACCTTTATTTGTTAAGACCATGGATAAAGGACCAAAGCAACTTGTATACACACACACACGTACATATATATGTGCGTGCGTGTGTGATTGCAGAAAAAAATCTTCATGCATTAGGGATGTACTGCTAATGAAATATTATGAACCCAAGGAAAAAAAAACAGAAAACAAAAAGTTTTCACTCTATACTTTCCCAGCATCAAACATTAATATATCATATCACTCCCAACATTGTTTTAGTTAACAATTGCAGAGAGAAAAAAATATTGATATATATGTTTAAAATGTTAATGGAACAAATTAAATTGCTAAAAACCTTGGAAATTCTCAGAAAAAGCTAATTTCTGTTACACGTATACCACTCCCAACATTGTTTTAGTTAGCAATTAATATATCACTCCCAACATTGTTTCAATTAACAATTGCTGAGGAAAAAAAATATTGATATATATGTTTGAAATGTTAATGGAACAAATTAATTGCTAAAACCCTCGGAAATTCTCAAAGAAAGCTAATATCTGTTACAAGTATACAAGTCAATGATAACTCTCATGGAAAATAGTCATCATCCAATACATCCATATAGAGTACGCGAAAAGTGAATTAAAAATGTAAAAAAAAATACCATTAAAGAGAAAAAAAAATTTGGGATATGGGGGTAAAACACTCTTTAACTTCAAGTTCACCAGAAATGAGACATGTTTGGCGGTGAATATGATAATGGACCTTCATATACAAAAATTGGGATGATATTGGTGAAACCATCCTTTATTAGAACTAGCATTGAAAGCTTATCGCCACTATTTGTGTCTGAGTGTCTCCTACATATACTTAACAGAAATCCTGATATATCACATCCCCTATATGACACGAGAACCTCGAGTATATGTAGTTTAATCTGATTCATTGCTTTTAAATACACTCATAGGTTAAAGTGATCATTAATTGCAAATTCTACTCAAAGGTACTCAACTTTTTCGAAGTAAAGCATGCATGTAAATGTATGTTCTATGCAGAAAATTCAGTGGAGGTGATTTCATATCTTGCTTTTCAACCTCCAACATATATAACCAGTACTCGATAAACATGCAAGTGTTTCAAACATTCTTCTGTATTGCTGATATTGTTACTTAATATGTAGGCATTGCCACAACAAATTGATTATCTTTGGTAATAGAGTTTTCAAACGCGCTGCTCAATTAATCATAAAGAACCTATAGCTTAATTCTTAGAAGACAAAAGATATCATAAAGAGTACAAGATGAAAATGTATAGTCATTATTGCAAGCGTAGACATATTAGTAGAGAAAGTACAGTTATATTCTGCATACTCGAATAGATTGGACTTATTAGTAGAGAAAGTACAGTTACATTCTACATACTCGAATAGATTGGTATAAGTAATGTGTAGATGCACATGCCATTTGGACACACTGACTAAACAAATGATTCACAGGTTTTGTATTTTGATTAAGGCATATTTTTACTCATTTCATGCAAATACATAGAGATAATATATTATACTCACCCGATTCCATTACTCAATCAGTAAAACCATCAATCTTTGTCTTTAGACAAGCAATCATGATTTAAGTGAAAAATTAAGTAATTAGTATGAACCAAGAGTAAGGATTTATATCATTGCCCTCAAACATTTAATTCTTGAATGTTGCTGACAGCAAATATATGCCATTTAATAGGAATATTTCCATTGAAATTTGGAATGAAAATCTCCTCCTCTAAAATTTATCAGAACAACATACGCATGCGAGCAAGATCTTTTGACCATATAGAGAAAAAAATAAGGGGAGGTTAATTTAGGGATTCCACTACCACTGAATCAACTCATCCACATGAAACACTATTCCAATAGGGATCTGCATTCCTCCTCCTAAGTTCTAGGCCTTGCATTCCATATAATTTTGTATTATCAATAAATACTTAATGTTACATTGGGATGATTATTCCTACACATGGAGAGCAGAATTACAAAACATTTTGAACCAGCAGCATTACCATGCATAGTACTCTGGCAATATGCATGCAAACTACCCTAGTAACTAGCATAAAATATTAATCGGTTAATTGTCTTTACAAAATGATGGGTCTTTGAACATCTCTGCAGCTAAATAGAAGGAACATTATCTTTGCAAAATTAATGGGTATTTCCCGCAAGTTATTGTTTATAACTGTCACAGGTCCCTACCTGTACACCAAAACTTCTAAGTTGTACTGAGGATAAGGTTATATAGTTTAATACTTTAATATAACCCCAGCTGGTTGAGCACCATTCCATAGGATGAAACCAGGACCAACATAATGGTATCCTTTTTAATTCGTTTAAATTTCTGGGCAGTAAAAGTTAAGGGTTATATATATAGCTAACACTGATACCAATGGTTACTCGGTTTCAGAAAGATGAATCCATTTGTTAGGACAATGTTTAGTTATACAAATGTCATAATGGGGGCTCAAAGGAATTAGAAGATACCTTGTATTGCGCCGAAGGGAACTTAAGCCAGCAGTTGGTAGTTGAGAATGATATGTATGATATATGACCGCAGGCAGGTTTTGAGGCTCTAACGCAT